TCATGTTCTGATTGGTTGTCTAGGTCATGTGTCTTGTTTCCCATTGGTTTGTTCATGTCATGTAACCCTCTTTGTTTGCTATAAGTAGCCATGTCGTTGCCTTTGTTCCTTGACGTGTATTGAATGTATTTATCCTGTTGTCGGTTAGTGTTGAAGTCAAGTCAAGTCAAGTCTAGTCTGTTAAAGTCAAGTCAAGTCAAGTCATGTCAAGTCTGTGTTTATTGTTTGGATTATGAGCCTAACTGAATGGTGGAATTTTGATAAAGTGATGGGTTTTATACATGCAAGGGAGTTAAAAAGGTGTGTACTGAATGTGCAGTTTCACTCTGCATAATAACAATATTATGCATAATACAAGAGTCAGTTCTATATGGTCTTTGCATTCCTTTTACAGCTTTGCTAAAGCCAAAAAAGACATGAAATAGCTTAAACTGTTCAAATTATTTGTATCTTTTTTTTTTCTAACCACCATGTGAACAATGGTTCAGTTTATTACACAGAACTGTGAACCCACTATGCAGGCAACATGTAAGATGCTGAATGAGGGAAACCCTGTTGATTATTAATATGATCCTATTACAGATCTGGCAGCACCTGAACCAACTCACGCACACGTACCACGACTACTCCAGCCTCTTATTCCAATCCACTCCAATCCATTCCAACAACCACAGGCTTTTACATAACAGGCTCAACAGGCCTTCAAAGACAACGACTTCATCGTGAGCACTAGCACGTAGGGTCAGATTAACTAAAATACTGCTAATGTGATTTCATACGTGCTCCTAAGCATTCTTACGCTAAATAACACTTTAGTATATATTTAGAGCTGAGTTTGATCTCGACTGGAGTAAAACTCTACAACTGTGTGTACTAAAAAGGCAAATCCCCAAAAAACTAAATGTTTTGAGAATAGGCCAGAATATTATTCTGGGAATCCTCTGCTGTACTTGTCATACACTAGGTAGCAAACACTAGTTAGTCTCACGCTTAAGAAGGTTACATCAGTAGCCTTTTAATAGTGTTTTAATCTGCCACCCTGCCTACTGCAGAAAACGCTGTGTTTTAACAAACATTCCCTGTAATAGAAACTAACTGTTATGGCAGGTTTGCTGTGGGACAATTGCGCCTCCTGGCTGTCATACTCTGTGCAGCTCTGACTTGACCACAGCACATGTGCTTACATGCAACACTTAAACCTTGTTAAATATTATGTAACCACAGGTCAGTACATGCAATTAATTGCAGTTGTAAAAAATGCATGAATAAAAACATAAATTGATGTGCATTTAGCAATGTTCACTGAGTAACATTGGCCTCAAGTCCTTAGAAGCTTAACATTCCTGATGAAATGAACATATCGAATATTAATAAACAATGCAAGGTCCACTGAGCCACTGAATCAAAGGGGTTTAGACTTCAAAGGGTTTACAGCAGCGCTTTTTCTAAATAATCTCAATTTAAGAGCACTGCTCTTCTAGTGCACTTAAGCACACGTTATAATAAACCAAATGTCATTGTTCTACAAAACTTAGTTCATTATAATGCATATGCATATACATTAATCAAGTACAAAGCACTGATGGTCCAACAACAACAACAACAACAACAAAAAAGTATTTTGGATAGTGCTGTCAAACGATTAATTGTGATTAATCTCATCCAAAATAAAAGTTTTTGTTTAGTCTACATAATATATATATTTAATATATAAACAAAATGTTTCTTAAATATATACATGCATGTGTGTGTATTTATATACACAAAATAAATATACACAGTACACACATATATATTATGGAAACAAAAACTTTTATTTTGGATGCGATTAATCGCGATTAATCAAGACTACAAGGAATAAATGGTGTAAAATATTTAAATATTGATGTTGACAAAAATAAATAATCTTATTTTTTATCATTTCTATAATTTCCCTTTTAAATTTTTTTATAAGGTATAATTCTTTTTTATAATTTCTATTACTCCAACAATACTGATCAACTATGGCATAACTGACAAATTAATTAGTAAGCCTATGAAAAATAAGCCGCTTGGTTACCTCTGTCTGAATGGCGATTTGTACACAGGCATGCTTAGATTGGCTGCACGTATTCAATGGAGTTACGTAAATGCGTCGACTTTTAATCGTTGTAATCTGGACAATCCTGAGAACGTGTTTCTAGATATCCATATACAATATGCATATATGTTTTTAAAAATCGTTTTAATTATTAACGCATACTTAATAATTAATACGCATGCATGTGTATTTTTTGTATGTGTATGTATTTTTTAACTGAGAGACTACAAGGAATAAATGGTGTAAAATATTTAAATATTGATGTTGACAAAAATAAATAATCTTATTTTTTATCATTTCTATAATTTCCCTTTTAAATTTTTTTATAAGGTATAATTCTTTTTTATAATTTCTATTACTCCAACAATACTGATCAACTATGGCATAACTGACAAATTAATTAGTAAGCCTATGAAAAATAAGCCTATGCACTGTTGTCAAAAAATGATGTTGATCTGAAAGATTCTGCTGTCTATAATAAAATGTAATAATAATATAAGTAAATACAGGAACAGGTTTGGTAATCTGGTAGTGCTGGTAGCTTTGTCATTGTTGTTTCATCCTCACACCATATCCTTAGCCTTTGTTCTTCACAGTAGGAAAGTGTCCGGTAAAATTGTATGCAAAAGAAAAAAAACACTTCTCTTTCATTGTCTTCATATCATAAATTATTTTTCCTCAAAAAGAATGGAAAGTTTCTGTTGACGTTGGTTCCTCAGGACTAAATAAATGTTCTTTGATAAGCATTGTAAACAATAACACACAAACGTTGGATCAAAGACAAGGTGGGTTTGGTGGATGTCTGTAGGTTGGTATTGTTCAGTAAATCAAAGATATGTCTATGCCATTGCTAATTTATTGCCTTGAATGTCATTTTCTTTTTGAATTTGTAAGCAATTTGTCCAGATTGTAATAGGCCTAAGTGGCAGAAAGTGTTGGTCCACACATGACTGAGTCGGTGAAAGTTCGTGCTACAGGGCACTACACACTTATCTCTAGGCTATTTCTGAATGGGAGACATATCAAC